TTCCTTTCCTCCTTCTTCTGTTCTAAAAATAATTTTACAAACAGGTAATATATGAACCTGGTTAAGAAGTTTTAATTCATTAGCAGGGTGTAAAATGAAGAGTAAGTCTCCTATCTTCTGCCCCGGAAATGATTATCACAGTTCTTATGCATTCTTCAAGAGGTATTCATCCATCCCCCCTTTTTAAAGGTGTTCTTTTAAACGAATGAATGGGAGGGTTAATAGGAAAAAATATCTGTCTTCTTCCTTCATCTTCATGTGCAGCCCCTGGTGTGTAGGCACAGATTCCAGCGCACATGCCTGTGATTTACACACGTATTGGGTTTATGTCGGAGGACAAGTTCTTTGTTATAAGAAAACTTCTGGAATCTAGAAAACGGATTTCCTCCCCAGTTCATCTGGTTATTAATCTTCCTAAAAGCTCAAGACAAACACAACTCCCCTATCTGAGACCTCTGCGGTCTCCGAGGCAGGTGAGACTCTTTCTGTGGCGTTGTCTTCACTTTCTGATTTGTCATCAGTTCTGAGAGGAAGCCAGTCAGGGCTTCTTTAGTTCAGCTCGCTGTTGATTTTATAACCAACTGCTGACTGCTTGGGACATAAAACTCCTGATGATTTACAAGTAGTAAGTGAGCAAGAAATCCATAAATCACATACTATACGAAGGGAGTGTAGGGGATCACATATGCGCTCACTCACACACACACACTCACACACACACATTCACCCTCAAAAGGAGAGTTGCAGGCATATGCAGAAAAATAGATTCACTTTTAACTTGAGAATTGAGAGCTTGTTGGTAAGAGGCCCACAGTCAATAACCTCTAGAAGTTAAATTACAGCAGGTAATATTATAATACAGAGCAAGAGGCTTTGCCCTTTAATTCTTAAGGAGGAGACTCTAGTTCCCACTTTAGATATGTTCAAAGGAGTTTTTCTGGTCTCTGGAGGAAAAAAACATTTTTTTTTTCCTTTCTAAAAACGTTTTACTGACCAAGCCAAAAAATGCTAAAGGTTGTCAGAGTTTTCTGATACTTTTGAAACTAATCTGCAACAGATATTTCTCAACTAAACACTCACTTAAAGATATTTTTCTTTTCATGTACAAGTTTTTCTGGGCCTATATTTAGAAAAATATTATAATATGCTAAAAGTAGGGGGAAATAAGTTTCCAATTCCAAAGGATACCTAGAGTTTCAGGGAGCCGACAAAGAAGGAGATATAGAGTAAAAAATATCTTGAAAAACATTTTTGTTTGGAAAGTGAAATTTAATAAATATGGATCTGCTACCATGTCTAGGGTGCCAGCTGTCTACCTCCCCAAAGATAGTGTACTACAGCTAGAAATGATGCATTATTAGCAGAATGGATCCTGATTCAAACAAAACAAAGAGGTAAAAATAAAAAGTAGAAAATTGGCCTGGCCTGGCCTGGCCTGGGTGGTTCAGTGGTTGAGTGTAGACCCATGAACCAAGAGATCACTGGGGTACATGCCCAGGTTGCAGGCTCAGTCCCCAGTAGGGAGGCATATAGGAGGCAGCTAATTGAGGATGTTTCTCTCTGATCAATGTTTTTCTTTCTCCTTCTCCCTTCCTCTCTCTTCAAAAAACAATAAAAACTTTTTTTTTAAAGTGGAAAATTGGGGAAAGTTAAACACAGACTAGATACTTAATGACATTAAGAATTGTACATTTTTTTAGGTGTAATGGTGTTGTTGGTTTGTTTTTTTTCTTCTTTATCTTTTAAAAATACACATGGAGTATTTTTGAGTGAAATGATTTAGTGGTTTAGATTTGCTTTAACACTCCAGTTGAGGGACTGTGGTTGGGGGTATAAATGAAACAAGATTGGCCATGAGTTGAGGTTACGTGATGGCTACATAGGTTTCATATACTATGCTCTCTGCTCGTGTATTTACTTGAAATTTTTCATAGTGTAGAAAACAATGAAGCAGCTAAGTTGAGCGAGAACGTTCCTTACCTATTTGGAGAACTCATTTGCCCATTTCACATTTGCTGTTCAACAGGCACCATGAGCCTGAGTGCCGAGTGCTGGGGCTGCAGACAGCACCCTGGTTACCGGGACAGGCGGGCACACTCCTGAGCGCTGGGCACAGTCACCTCAGTGATGTGTGTGAACCTCTCTTCTCTCAGCTGGTAAGAAGGTACCCACCCCGTGGTCACTGTGAGCAGTCTCTGTTTGGAGGAGAAACACCAGCTGCCCTGGGGTGCTGGGCTTCATGGCAACCCTACTCCACCGATCCAACAGTAAACATGCCGAGGTGAGGCCCAGAGGTTAGAAGCTGAAAACAGACACCCCTGGCCAGCTCTTCACAAATAAGAGTCTTTGTTTTCATACTGTACCCCGCCCCACCCCCAAAACGTAGGTAGAGCAAAAGGGCTGGCTTTGTCACGGAGATCTACTTACTGCGCATTTGAAATGTAGACCTGTCTGTGCTGCCGGGCTCAGTGGAGCCAGAGGGAAGTTCTCCGCCCCTGAAACACCTCGGAGTCCAGCCAAGGGCGAGGCGGCCACACGTGGGTCCCAGGGGAGAAAGGAGAGCTAAGAGCTTCACGAGAGCTTCTTCCCCTGGCGTCTGGGCCTCGTTTCCCAGGCCGGGGCGGTCCCTTCCCCGTTCCACCAGGATTGTCCGCCATCTGCAGCCTCTCCAGCCAAGAGGAACCCGCGGGCTGGCGGGAGGTTTCCAGAGAACCTCAAGTTCTTAAGAAACCTGTCTCCTTTGATTAACAAGATCTTTTAGCTTAATTCTGGATTCCATGTAGCTCACCAGAAAGTGCCCACGCTTGTGGCCCCACGGAGGCTGCGGTGGAGGAGACCGAGGTCCGCTGGCGCTCTGGTCACTTAGATCTGAACGTTGCCAGCAAGACCCTCTATGCTACACCCTCTATGCCTCTGGGTCTGGCCCAGAGTAAGTGCTCAGAGTCAGGTCATGGGCATTATTAAAACCCTTCTGTGGCTTCCCAGCCGCTCTGTGGACACCTACCAAAGTGTTTGACAAGGCTGACAAGGCCCTGGGCTCTGGCCTGGACACTGAGCTTTTGAGCACTTGGGCTATGGCTGGGCCCTTCCCATACCATAACCACGGGGTGGATAGGGTGTCTGGGCCAAACTCCAGTCTATCATTCCCACATCCCCGTTCTCCATTCCCCCCTGTAAGATGCTGAGAGGAGAGAAAATGGCAACACCCAGGCAACAAACCAGGCGCTCGGCCATGAATGCGCCCTCCCTGGTCACAGACCCGAAAGAGTCCGAGTTCAGGGGCCACTCGGGGCTTCCTGTCACACCGTGTGCAATCTCCACACAAAGACAGAAAGAGCATTGTGGGATTGTCCTGAGGCAAGAGAGCTGGTGGGTGTAACTGGCCAGGCACTGGAAGGCAGCTCTGTCTGAGGGTGGGAGCAGCAGTGAAATACAGGATTACACAGCCTGCAGAGCAGCCCTACGACCTCTCCCACTCAGGGGATGTGCCAAGCGTCCCCTCCTCCTTGTACAGGTATCGGCTACTCAGTTCCCAGGACAGTCCTCTGAGCCCAGGACGCCAGCCATCTGGCTATCCTTATAAATGTTACTCCCTGGGGCAAGGTGTGGCGAGGACCTTGACTGCACTCCCCAAGCAAACTCTGTGCCTCTCCTGGCCAGTTCAGGAAACCCTCCTTGCTGTCAGAGAATAATGATCAGTGAAGCTCTTCAAGGGCAGAGCCATATCTGCTCTTCTGTTGGTCCTGACGCAGAGTAGATGCTCCGTCAACAAATATGGATGGAATGAACGCATTCCTATTTGCTGACCCCCGACGGTTGCCGGCCAGCCTCCCACCTTGAGCTCCCGAAGCGGTGAGCGCCGATGCCCTGTCCTCAGAAGCATCAGTCACTTCTCCAGGTAGCATTCTTCCACTGTCTTAGAACAGGGACCATTTAGCTGCTGCTGTCTGGAGCTACAAACGCCCCCGAGCCACTGCCTTGCATATGGGACTCCTGGCGTCACCCAGACAGATTGGCTGTCCTGCCCTCCCAGCTTTCACACTAACATCTTTTTCCAATTGGCACATCCCTTCATGCCAAACCCAAGCCCAGGAATACAGCACTGCAGGACGGGTGAGAGTGAGGAGGGACAGGGGTGAGGGAGGCGGGCATGGGGGCCTCTGAGTCTCACTCCTGGTAGGCACGCTGCTGGTGAGGCTCAGCCATGGCCCCATCATCCAACGTCCTGCCCAGAGCGCAGGCCCTCAGCTGGGGGTCCAGCATTTCTTGAAATGAGTGTAAAGTTGGTTTCTGTGAACCCAACTGTATTTTTCCATCACATCCTATCATCGAACATAAAAACGAATTTCCATATGAGAAGATTTTGTTCCCGAGATAGAATAAAAATCACAATAATATGCCATGGCCTATGTGAATCATGTCCTTGGAAAACTAAATATTTCTGATAAAAATAGCATCAAAACTTTAAAGGACAGCTAAATCCTCTCTGTTTGGGGAAGCCTCCCTTTGTAGCCCAAGGAAAATCGTTTCTTTTAAAACCCTGATGATTTTAACTGTCTCTTCCAAAGTCCGTGAGTCTGTTCTGGTTGTTTATTACATAGTCCAGATTCATGGAAATTAAGGGCAGCAGAGTTTTGTTTTGTTTTGTTTTGTTTTATAAAAGAGATGAGCTTGTTTTGGCAATGATTGTTTCCATGATCCGTGATTTCCCAGGCATTGGCATGGCAGCTCCGTTCTCTCACTCCACAGACTCCTGTGAGGTGCTGAGAGAAGCCCCAGGTTCCGCCAGCACTGCGCCCAGGCAGCTCATGCCCAACCCCGATCCCAACCTGGGCGGACACATCGAGCCTAAACTTTCCCACAAGAGCATCTGCAGCCAAGAGTCCCTGCGACCCAATGATAACTTAAGTATTTAATGACATCATTGTCCTGTTCTTATTTATTTGGTATGGTTCAGATACCTGTCTAATATCTAACAGAAGATATTCTTTATTTCTTATTCCATTTATTTGTTTGTTTATTGCAGCCTTTAAAATACCCAGAGTCCTCAGGGATACCTGATGGGATATGCAAATCTCCCCTGGGAACTGAGAAGGAAAAGCCTGGGAAAGCCACAGTTTTCTCTTCCTGCCTCCCTCCCAGCCCACTCTCACGGCTGTGGATAAACAGTTGAGATTCCTGCTGGTGGGCATGCTGTTGGTGCACTGTCGGTGGGGGAATCCCTCGCTGTATCAGAAGGTAATTTATCCTCCTCAGCCTAATTTTTACCAATTTGAGACATTTCACCTCCCACCCCCCTGGAATGGTGTCTGTCAGGCTGCCAGGGCTGCTCTGCTGTCTACCTCCTGAAGGCTGCAGCACAGAACACTTCATTTATCAGCAACAATGACTTGAGCGCTACTCCCTCGGCGGCAGCGGCATTAGTCTATCGAGGGAGGGAGAATATCTCCTCATAGGGGGGAGGAGAGAAGCCGGCAGAGTCCTCACCTCCCCGCTGTGTCTCTTCTAGCAGCTCAGCATCAGGGCTGGACCTGAAATGTGAGTGGAAAACACAGATGCGTTACAGCCCACGGCACCGCTCCCAGAACCAACACCCCCTGCCTGGCAAGAGGCTGCACAGAGATTGTATTTGCCCACCGCTTCTCTAGAGACCAAACACAGCCATTGGCTGTGGCGGTGACTGCGGGAAGGAGAGGGTCCCCACCACAGACACCGTACCTGTCATCTCCGCCATCCACGAAGGCAGGGTAATCCTGGTCGTCGACGAAGGCAGAGTTCTCCGAAGGGTAGATGGTGTAGTACTGAGGAGGGCTTGGCGTGGCAGTGGCCACCACTCCAGGTGGTGGTGTGAGGCAGCAAGGGTTCACCACAGGCTGCAGGTACGTGGTGTTCACCCCCAGGGGCTCTTGAGAGCCGTAAGGGGGAGGGATATACTGCACCACAGTAGCCCCGTGGAAGGTGATGGGCTGGTTGATACCAGTGAAAACAAACGATTGTCCTCCTGCCGCCTGCTCCATGTCAAGGACCCTTTCCTCGCTCTCTTTGCACAACTGGCAGGAGAGCATCTGGAACTTGCACACAGCAATCAGGATGAAGGTCACCCCGACCGACAGCAGGATGGGCCCGAGGAGCTGGGTCCATTCAAAGTGGGAGACCCCTTGGTATTTGATCCAGCCTATGATGGTGAACGTGATCCCCACCAGTCCTAGGAATACGCCTGAGAAGAGTAAGGTGGCCCCTGCCTTGTCATCGTCGGACACCTGGATGTCCGCCGTACTGGGTGTGTAAGGAGTGACGGAAAACACGCTGACAGGGAAGTCCTCCAAGGGCCTGCTGCCCTGCTCCATGGTTCTCACACAGCCACCCGTTCCTTAGAAGGGAAAGGGAGTGTGAGAGCTCCTAAGAGCAGAGCACACGGTCACAGGTTCAGATTAGTTATGGGAGAACTTTGGGCTTCTGTGGTTAACAGAGTAGAACAGGCAGAAGCCTGAACTTTGTGTAGAAAAATAAAGGTCTGAGAAGTGAAGCCTGAAGTTTTCTCATAATTGTCAATAATTGAAGGTCCCTGTTTTGCAACTCAAGCTCTCTCTCATTCACATTCATTCATTCACAACATGTCTATTGAGCTGCCTTATGTGCTAGCACAGTGGTCGGCAAACTCATTAGCCAACAGAGCCAAATATCAACAGTACAATGACTGAAATTTCTTTTGAGAGCCACACTTTTTAAACTTAAACTTCTTCTAACACCACTTCTTCAAAATAGATTCGCCCAGGCCGTGGTATTCTGTGGAAGAGCCACACTCAAAGGGCCAAAGAGCCACATGTGGCTCGAGAGCCTCAGTTTGCCGACCACTGTGCTAGGAGGTACTTTTATAGACACTTAGGCACTGTTCCAAGGCCCTGTTCCAAGGCCCTGTTTGTGTCTTACCAAACCAGGATTGTAGAAATGGCAATCCAGGTCTCTTGATGTATCAACCCCAATTTTCCTGCTGGGTCAGCTCATTAGAATCAGGCAGACTTGCCCTAGTTGGTTTGGCTCGGAGCATAGAGTGTTGGCCTGTGGATGGAAGAGTCCCAGGTTCGATTCCAGTTTAAAGGCACATATCTCAGTTGTAGGCTCTTCCCCAGACCCTGCCCTGGTCAGGGCCCATGCAGGAGGCAACCAATTGATGTGTTTCTCTCATATCAATATTTCTCTCTGTCTTTCCCTCTCTCTAAAAATCAATGGGGAAAAAATCCCCAGATGAGGATCAGGAAGGAAGGAAGGAAGGAAGGAAGGAAGGAAGGAAGGAAGGAAGGAAGGAAAGAAGGAAGGAAGGAAGGAAGGAAGGAAGGAAGAAAGGAAGGAAGGAAGGGAGGAAGAAAGGAAGGAAGGAAGGGAAGGGAAGGGAAGGGAAGGGAAGGGAAGGGAAGGGAAGGGAAGGGAAGGGAAGGGAAGGGAAGGGAAGGGAAGGGAAGGGAAGGGAAGGGAAGGAAGGAAGGAAGGAAAGGAAAGGAAAGGAAAGGAAAGGAAAGGAAAGGAAGGGAGGGAGGGAGGGAGGGAGGGAGGGAGGGAGGGAGGGAAAGGAAAGGAAAGGAAGGAAGGAAGGAAGGAAAAAAGAAGCAGAGTTGACCAGTGTTCTCTTCCCCACTTCCCATGTGCCTTTTGCTTTCAGCCTTTGGGGACTGATTCCAGCTTCAGGACAGGAGGGGTGCCACAGGAAACCTCCCCATGCACCACATCACTGGCGGAGGATGAATGAGCATCAGGCATGACTTAGCATCAGCGGACACATGCTTCAGACCCTCGCTCCATGGCAGCACAGTCCCTGGCCTCGGGTGAAGTAAACGGCGGCATTATCACGCCTTCTGTGTTTTGCAATCAAACCCAAGCTCGTCTAGAGAAGAAAGCCCCATCTTCAGAGATGGTACCTGTCATTCATAACCACAGAACCTCTTCAAAACAACCCCACGGATTTCCTCCTCTTTCTTTCCCAGACAGAGCTTATGCAAGCGGACGTTTCTCTTCAGTGGTTAAGTATTATATCAGCTCCTTTTTTTTGCAACGTTGAGCAGAAGGAAAAGAGTTGCTCTCTAGCCCTAACTCAAGGCTTTCCAAACTTCCCAGTTGATAAAAATCATCCAGGCCACTTTAAAAAAAAAAAAAAAAAAAAAAAGTAAAATCAGAGTTCCCAACTCAGGAAAACAGTAGCTCTTATCATCAGGAATCTTAGGAAACCCGACTCCAAGTTAATCCCAAGTGCTCCTGGGAGACCAGGGAACTTATCTCTCCACCAAAATGCCTCTCTTCCTGGACAAAGCCTGCAATCTCCAACTTCCTGCCAACCAGATGGAAACCAAGCAGATGACCCCCTCAGGTATCTTCCCTTGCTGTCTTTGAACAGCAAGGATGGGGTGTGTTGCAGTTGGAGTGGTCTCCCCCATTTCAGTCTATTGCTTAAGCAAGTCACTAAGCAAAGCCAGATACTAAAGGAAGGAAGGAAATTAGATTCTTCCTTTCTGGGGAGAATGTCAAGGTCACTGTGCAGAAGAACCTGTGGGATAGGAGATGTTACTGCTGCTCTCTGGAAAATGCAGTCTTGCCCAGAGGAGTGTTGATTGACTTGTCCCTGTTTAGTCTGTGATACTGCTTGAATTTTTGTTCGTGTGGACAGGCAAGGGTGTCTCAAGACTTTAGACCAGCCGTGTTGTGTCCTCACTCACTCATTCTTACTTACTGGCCAGTTCTTGATGGGACCCGTGAGGGCAACACTCTGTCACAGCCATCAAGAATGTCTCGTTCTGGATTTTCCTGAGTTGCTTGTATATTTTCACTGTTTCTCAGACCTGCATATCAAACCTCCTGTTTTTAACCCCAGTTCACATTCCTGGTTAAAAATTGTAATTTTGAAATGATGACAGTTCAAAGAGATGAATGAAAAGTGACGCTAAAACCACAAAAACCAAGTTTTCAGAGCTTATCAGAGAACTCTCAGGAAATGAAACTAGCACAGTCCTGTATTTGTTAGCAAAACAGATGATTGAATATGTCATGGTAGGAAGTAAACTGCTTTGTGGATGTTGTGTGTGTGTGTGTGTGTGTGTGTATGTGTGTTCCAACCATGATCCTACAGTGTAACCTGTTTCACAGCAATGTGGGCCATACCCACCTGATCTGACCACACACGAAATACCACCAGGTCTCCAGTAACAAAAAAAAAGTACCAAATATCTCAACCACTCAAAGCACAGTAAAAGCAAAATAAAATAAAACCATGAGCTTGGACAGCATGGAAAAACAATGATCTGCTAGTTCTGTTTTCAAAAAGTGGCTCAAAGCCCTTCAGGATTCCCAGGATTCAAAAATAATGTCTTCCCAAACATTTGAATAGAAATGACACTGCTGGGCTCCCCTTATCCCTCGCACACTGTGGGCGGGGAGGCCCGGAGAGGCGGCTGGGGGGAAAGAACACAGCCGCAGGAAGGGGGCTGGGTGCTCTGCTCTGCACAGCAGAACCCTGTCACTGGCCACCATCGTTCGAAACAAGGAGAAAATCAACAAAAGCAGAAGTGGTCAGGAGGGTATGATCCGGTCAAGGCAGCTGGTCCTTGGATTCAACTCTGAATTCAGTTACTGTGAGAGGAGAATATCTGAGCACACAGCTCCTGGCTCTGCTTGGGAATCCAGGAGCTCGACTGGTCCTGGGCCCCGCACGAGGCGGTACCTCCTCCCTGGCATGGCTGGTCACCACAGCTAAAGCAGCACATCAGGCCGCTGTCATGGAGAGGGTCCGAAAGCCAGGCCTGACCAGCTCTGTGCCTGCAGCGTGCCGAGGTTGCAGGCTTGCAGGGAACGTTAGCAAGGCTCCATGTGCTGCTCGGCTGCCCCGCCAGGACTTGTGGTGAGAGGATGGATGCTTCTGGGAAGGGCCCTGATGGGACAGATGTGGCTCCTGGGCCCTGAGAGGTGAGCCTACACTTCAGTAAATGTCTGGCGTCTGTCTGTCATTTAGAGGGAGGTGTCAGGGGGAAAACCTCAATGGTAGAACTATCCAGTGCTCCCTGTTCCCTTTGCTTGAATTGTATCTGACTATGGTGGCAGAAAGTTATATTCACCTTTATAGTAAAAGACATAGTGGTTGGACCATAGCTATTTTCCTATATAATAAAGAGGTAATATGAAAATTGACCATCACGCCAACACACAAGATGGCCACCCCTATGTAAACGCAAGATGGCCACCACAAGATGGCCAGCAGGGAAAGGCAGTTGGGGGTGATCAGGCCTGCAGGGAAGGGCAGTTGGAAGGGACAAGGCCTGCAGGGGAGGGCAGTTGGGGGTGACCAGGCCTGCAGGAGAGGGCAGTTAGGGGCAATTAGACTGGCAGGGAAGGGCAGTTAGGAGCAACCAGGCTGTCAAGGGAGGGAAGTTAGGGGCAATCAGTCCAGCAGGGGAGGGCAGTTAGGAATGACCAGGTCTACAGGGGAGGGCAGTTAGGGGCGACCAGGCTGGCAAGGGAGGGCAGCTAGGAGTGACCTGGCTAGCAGGGGAGGGCAGTTGTGGGCAACCAGGCCTACAGGGGAGTAGTTAGGGGCTGATCAAGCTGGCAGGCAGAAGCAGTTAGGGGCAATCAGGCAGGCAGGCAGGCAAGCAGTTGTGAGTCAGTAGTCCTGGATTGTGAGAGGGATCCCAGATAGGAGAGGGTGCAGGCTGGGCTGAGGGACAGTCCCCACCCACACCCACCCCATCCCCATGTACAAATTTCGTGCACCGGGCCTCTAGTACTATCATAGTGGTGCTATGGTCATGCTGAGAACCGAAACTGTCCTCATGCATTTGACTTAGTTGCAAAAATCGTAAAACTATTTGGGGGTGCAGGAATCATTGCTGAACAACCTGCACATTCATCCCATCCTCTTGCTTAAGTTTCCTCGCATCCTGCTGAGGGACAGGGCTCAGCTCTATAGATGATTAATCGCAGCAACAGGAAAGGATGTTATGTGACCGAGCAGCAGGGCAGGAGGACAATCTGTTTTGCTAAACTGTTTTCAAACTGCTCTTCCATGAAGGGCACACGCTTGCTGACGAGGGATCTGTCTGTGGTCTCGGGCCAGCCTGTGTCTGCTGAGGGTCACTGGGGCCGCCCGTTCTCAAGGTGTTCCCTCAGACAACCTTTAGATTTTTTTTTAATTTCTATTTTTTTTTTAGATGAAACTGAATGTAGGCCTCAGCCACTAATGCTTTTAGCAAACAGCAAGGTGAGCCTCCCAGGGGCCCAGCTCATGGTCTGAGGCCCTCCTGGATGGGGTGGGTCGGCACTGGCAGTGGCTCCCTCCTGGACTCAGGGGTTTGTGTGGTTGTATATTTGGTTTCTATTATGGTATGACCCTCGTTTACTAGCTCAGAATTCTGTAGATCAGACATCAGTCTTAGCCGGAGGTTCTAAGCTCATTTTGATTGTTGGCAAGTTCAGCCCTGTGCAGAGT